ATTTCATGATCATAGAAAGCACTTTAACGATGCATCTTCGACGATTTTTTACGGTTCTTTTGTCTAAAATAACCAACGGTGTTACTCTTTGAATAGACATCCAAATAAACCATAACTTTTGTCGGAAAATTGCTTGATTCCATCACTGACATCGGGTTTCGTTCTGTTTACTGCCTATATACGATCGTTCCGAGAATTTGAAATACCGTCGATGTCAAGCATTTTTTCATGTGAAGATAGCATCTTCATTTGTTACTTTTTTCAGAAATTATTTTAGATCGAATTTGCAAACTTTTTTCTTTTGATCTTATAAATGTCCATCAACATTGGTTCAATGATTTTTGCGTACGGTAAACAACATTGATCATTTCTGAGTATTTTCTGACCACTGGTTCGAGATAAATTCAATTCACCATACAGTTCTGGAAGACACCTTCTTTATTCGTCTTAATTGACTCTTCATCTTTTCGATTGTTGTATGAATTGCACGTGGACGACCGACTGATCTTGATAAATCGATAGAGTCGACTTCCCTTATCATATTGCATCATCTTTTGATTGTATTGAGACCTAGGTCACCGTTCAAATCATGAAAAATTTTCAATGGGGATTCATCATTTTGGTGTTTATAGAAAACAATAATTTGCAGATCTTTACTTTTCATCGTGAAGAATGTTTTCTACTCAGTTGCACGTCGATCAGACCATATGAATGTGTCGAGAAGAGAACGGCAAATCATTTAAAAAAATCAACTGTTTGCGACAACATGTGACTGAGCTATAGCTATGAAATACGCAGAGACCCATTCTTTATAGCGTACCAGTTATGAGAATGTTGTACGATAAATAGTACGCATCATACGCTCAACATCAATTTTTATTTGCAAATAAGTTTGAGTTTTAATACTCCTATTAATCTAGAATGTTCTAAAACTATGAGACTGAATTTTAGATATACATTTGAGTTGTTCTAACAGTTTGTAGCCATTCTTTTCACTGCAGTTATCATAAAACACTTTCAGTATGATGCGACTTGTTTTCGCCAATAGAAAAGGAGTTATTGAAGCAAGACAATGATCGTTCCTAAATAGTAGTTTGATACAACTTAAAATGCCTTCATATGACAGTAAATTAAGTTTTCAATTTTTGATGGCACATGAATGATGGAAAAGCTTCGTGTAAGCATCTTTTTTCTTAAAAACAATTTCTTCATTCTGACGGGCTATCGTTACTTTTGATATATTGTTTTTTTTTTGAAACAAATGGCTATATGACATATTTTACTTCATCGAAAATGAATCGTATGAAAAAAGATTGTTGTCGTGTTCAATGAACCATTGCTTCTGTGAAAAGGATGAGCGAATCAAAAGCCAACATCAATGAAAATAGAGTGTCAACAAAGATAAATGATTTTGCCACTGATCATAGTAAAAGTTCTAGTGTCGATCGGGTTTATGTTGCGTGTGAACGTTTGTATAAACAAATGAAATAGCCTCGAGTACTTTTGGAAGATTCTTATTGCAGGTGTTCAAAATAGATAAATATAAAAAATGATGCACCAGAAGGGAAAAGAACTGATAGATAGTTGAGGATAAAAAACGTATTAAGTTGTAATTGTATATATGTCTATATATACACACACGCAAAATGTGATATATGGGTCCTGAAACTTAAAGTCAATAGGTTATTCATTCTGTAGTTAGAAAATTGTATTTTAACACGTTGAAACAAACAAACGTATTCGTAACGAAGCCTGCTCTACTACTTTTTGAAACTAAAGTTTAGTTTAAAAATTCTAGTAGAAGGATATTTTCGGAAAATGGCAACCAACTTCTTCATGTTAACAAGTCATTTTGAAAACCATTTTGTAAAAAATCCAAATTTTTATTAGTACAAAAATTGATTTTGTACCTTTCAATAGTTTTAGTTTAGAATACTATAATGGAATATTCTTCCGCTTGTATTCTGAGAATAAAGCTTATACCAAAAATCCAAAAACGTTTCACTCCGTTACACTCTATCGAGTCCTTGAGAAATGTTTAATAGACACATAACACTCTTCACAAAATGCAAAACAATTTTTGAAGGACTTTGTAAAACTACTAGGAAATCTTTAGCGGTTCGGACCGCATTTTTTGAAAACATCCTTCTTATAGTCTTTTTTAAATTAGGCTCTCTTTCGAAAGTGTATAAATAATACAAACATAAACTTTAAAACTGACTAGATCACTAACAGGTTTTGGTTTTCTTCGAGCAGAGTACAGGGAACACTGAGCCCAATGGACTAATAAAGACAATATACTAGAATATATCTTAACATCAGTTTCGGCTAGCGTTCATATTCATTTGCCTTACTTTAGACAAAAGTCAATGAAAATTCTTTCATTTACCGGTTGTTGTTTGATACTCGAGAAGATGAGCACGAACACTGTGTAATACTTTGATCTCATCCCAAAAAAGAATAGGATATAAATCGATCGAGAATATGTGTGTGTAACTGACACTAGAATGCCAGAACATTATACCGACTGTGTATAGATAGAAACAAAAAAAAAAAGAGTTGTACAACACACATACATAAAAAAGAAGAAACCCGTTGTGTTAATACTTTTCTTTTTACTGGGATCGAGATTGATGAGTGTTGATAATGATATGAGAGAGTGAGAATGAGAGAGAACAATCATAAACAAAGCCTATTGTCAATTATATAATACTATTTTATTCATCAAACAAATCGATTATTAGTTCACAAATGTTTAACACGTACGTAACGAAAATCACATTCATGTGTCTACTTTAATTAGTCTATGGTGCCAATAAAATCATAGAGTTATGTCTGTTCTCTCTATGTGTTATTTAAGAGATAATCAACGACAAGATTGTTACACATCTTGTTTCACACAAACTAGATGAGATACAAACGTATAAACAACACGAATAATTCGGAAACTCTTTCTATTTAAAAAGTTTAAAAATGAGAATTTAAAACTTGCCAGTAATTAAAACGACAGTTTTCAAACAACAGTGTATTGTCTAACTTCAAATAAACTTGGGATATTGGCTAACAATCATATTCGATTAAAGTTTTTTGACCTCAAAATTGCCATGTAATAACAACAACAACAAAAATGTGCAATTTCTATCTACCATGACAAAAAATTATTAAGTATTTTAGGTTGTCTCATTAATGACATATTTCAAATATTAACATTTACTTTGATGAATACTAGAGTCAAATTAATTTAGATTTTTGTTCTAACCGCTAATGAAGTTTGAGGTATAGTTAGTCAATTATGAGATAAGACGCTCTATATATAATTAATCGATAAATGAATGAATGAATAAATAAAAAAAATAGTTTTTAACGATGAAACCCATTTGTTGATGAAAAATATGTATCTATTTTTTTTATTCATTAGACATAACGGGAATGTACAACACGCAGTTAACCTTCGGGCAAACATTTTATTATATACCTAAGACATTCATTACCAATTATGTGAAGATTATCGATAAAGATTATGTATAGCTTACGGATACTAAAAATAGTCAAAATAGAGGAGGAGAATGTAGTAGAAAAGAAAAAAGAAGAACTTATAAACGACAGCTTGAATTATTATGATATGAATCTAATATATCACCATTGAGACTTTAGCGAAAAGAAGAAGATAGACAGACACAGACTTCAAGTTTCAAATAGAACTCGAGACTAGCATCAGATAAAAAAAAACTGTTATACAAAAAAATTCTGTTCATATCCATGGTTAAAGGTGTGCAAATTAATCATAATAAGATTATACTTTTTTGATGATATTTCTATAAGAAAAACGAATAACTATTTAAAAATTTTAAAAAATTTTGTAAATTTTTCTTCTAATGATTTGTTATTTCATTTATTTCATACATCAAAAAGAAAATATTAAACTATCTTTGTATTCAAAATAGAATTATCGTACTTATTTCTGTTTCAGTCATTTTGTGATTTTGAATAAGGATATATGTAAAAATTTCTCATATTTCTCAAAAATAATGAGAAAAAGACTTTTTTTGAACACGCACGATGCAATTAAGATTGTTTTGAGCACGATGAGATAGATTAGAGCAAATTTTATATTTGTTTTACTAGTACACATATCACAATATGACCACTACCCGTTCATTGAGAAAAATCGTCATCTGTTGACCATGTCGATCACAATATAATAATAAATTTTTTATCCATTTTTACACTTCTTTTTCCTATGCATGAACTGACAGGTTGAAATGAACAAAATAGATTTCCAGCTGATTTAGTCAACCAATCGAATAACATTTCTTCAACAGTTGATAAAAAACCAGATAACAATGATTTATTGTGCACACTTTAACATTGAAATATTACTGTGAATAATCTGTGCTAAAAAAGATACTCTCATCCAAAATAATGAGAGAAAGATGCGTTTATGATTTACTATGAAAACTAAAGTATATCTATAAATGAGATTGTTCGCATTACTAGATTCACCTAATTCTATGAATCCGCATATATTCTCGAGATTATTATCATTTACGCTTATGCTTAACAGTCAATATCTATAGGAGATTTTTTAAATTAAATATATTATTTTTCTTTTTTTTTGTTGTATTCTTCAATGCATCAAGATATATCTAGAAATCACCACACATATAGGTGAGAATGATGATAGTTTATTGTATTAAGGACACTGAACAACGAATGAGAAAAAGGAACAAGCAAAAAAATAAAGTTCAAATTAAACAAAACATAAAAGAAGAAAAAAAAAAACGAATAATATTTGGAATATATAAAAAAACAAAACTTCTCCGGTGTGTGCATATATATGTAAGAACTGAACAACAATGAATAATTTACACAATTTTGAACATTGAAAAATGCTCATCAATATTGTGTATGAGGAAATAGAACAATCATAATTTCTTTTTCTTTTTAATATAAAAATAAAATTTATTTTCCACAACAATAAAGATAATTATGACAATGATTTAAGTGCCAAGAAATGATGTATTTTTAAGATATGGATTAGTTGATAAATAATTGTCGTTCGATAAATATTGTTTTGATGGTGAAATAAAGGATGATGTTGAAAAATTAGCAGCTACTGCAGCAGCCAATGGATGCAAACTGTTTAGAGCGGACATGGTTGATGATGATGAATACTGTGCAGCTGAGTGTGACTGATGATAATGACGATAATAATTTCCAAGTTCTTCATTCTTCATTAATAAATAGGGAAATTGATCTTTATCTTTACGTTTTGAATTTGGTTTACGATTACGCGTTTGAATATTTTCTTTCTTCATTGATATTGGCCGATTTACCTGAAATAGAAAGGACAATAATGAATAAACAAGAGTCAACAATCATAAGTTAACCGTATTAATATTACTCTCATAGATTTTTTGTGTTTCAATTAAAACACACAATGCATTTGGAAAATTTTGAACAAAATATCTTCAGGCAACACTTTTCCATATCAAAAAGTTGATTTTAACAGATAAACTAACAAAATATTTATATTTGACAAAATAAAATGAGATCTTTTAGTTAAATCAAATTGAAATAGTTTCATTTCAATTATGTTAGTGCTTAGAATATTCCTAGATGAATGTATTTGTAAGTTGATATGAACTATCTTATACTATTTTGTAATACTATTTTGTTTTTGATAATATATAATAAAGTTATTCTAATATATCTTTGTACTATTCAGGTTAATTAGTCTAACTAATTATAAAGTTAAATATCTTTTAGTTTTATGATAATAATAGTGTATGTGATATGATGAAGAAGGAAAAAGATATACAGATGGATAGACAGACATATTGAGAAAAAAAAAATCAAGATATATTTAACTTGTTAATAATAAACATAATTAAGATTGAAAAAATTAACAACAACAACTTTTTTTTGCCATATATATATATATATATATAGATATAATTAAATAAAATATATTTTTACAAATATATAGATATTTACACTAAATGTAAAAATGAAAACAATAACCGTATGTTTAAATTAGATCATATAATCACTATAATTAATCTAATCGAATAGTGTGTATCATTTTCCTTTTTTTTTTCTTCTTTTTCAAATATATATAAATTATTCTATTCTAATTATTGATGAGCATCAACAAATTTTTTTAACATAAACATTTTCATTGTATAATAGAGAAAGATTATAAAATCTAGATAAACAAAAAAGTTATTCAAATATTTCTAAACTATTTTTTCTACAACTAGAATATATTTTATATGTTTCCAATATTTTATACAGCCTTTGTCTATTTCTTCTTCAAATCTATCTATACAAAAAAAAAACGTATTCATGTATAATACAACGTTGACACATTCTTTTCTTATTTAATAAATTATAAAAACACCCAATAAAATAATAATATTGATGTTTATCTTTGGATACCTGTCTATATGAATGTAACTATTCAGTTTTCTTTTTTTTGTTCGTTTTTTTATAAATGTCATATTCAATCTATTCGTTATAATAATATTGATTCGTGTTTTTTTTTTTTTCTTCTTCTAATTATATATACACACGTTGCTGTTTCAAAAAAAAAAGAAAGACTACCTGAATTACATTGAACAAATGAATACTTTTTCTAATTTTTTCATTGTATAAGATCCTGAACAAAATTTTGTATATTGACAGATATTTTTAATTATATGGAGAATAACTTTAGCTAATTGAAAATGTAGTATAAAGTTATATACTATAGCAGAAGTATTTATCCTTTTTCTTTTTTTGACAACTGGCGTAAAAATCTATACTTTAAATCAAATTATACTCTTGATAGAGTAATTTTATTGCTCATCTTTTACTATTATTATTACAGAATTGAAAATGAATATTTTTTAACAGTTTTTTCATCATAATTGTGTCTAATCATTTTTGTTTATCTGTTATAATCACTAACTAATTTGATGGTAATAATGACGAATGTGTTATATCAGTAGTAAAATATGTCTAATAAAGAAGCCATTGTTGACTTGATTTTCATACGGTTTTTTATAATCGAATTTGTCATATGTTTAACACTTTCTTCACTCTTCTTCTTCTTTTTTTTCTCTCAATGAATTGATCAAATGATAGACATTAACGATAATCGAATAATTAATCATAGACGCGCTTGAACAAAGATCATCTACATTTTTTCTTTTTATACGTTTTCTCTACATCATCTTTTCACACAATTATAATTTCCTTTATCTAGTTCAAAACCTTGAAGGTCTATATACATCTTCTACTGTTACATTTACTTTTGGACACCCTGAACAGTTCAATTCTATATATATTTTAACACTTTTCATTTCACAATTAAGAACTACACAAATATAGTATCGTTTCTCCGCCTTAAAGGCATTCATAATAAAACCGATTAACGGTTTCGTTGATGTGTCAAATGTGCGACAATTAATTAACAACAAGACAAGGTGTAGGCAATAATTGACCCTATCTTTTAGTATTACTATATTATACAGACAAGGTGTGATCGTCATTTTAAATGCACATTGTCTCTAAGACAACTTCTAGATTTGATGTATCAACAAAATCGAATTAATCAAACGTTGTTGCTTTTTTTCTTTTTTCTAGTTAATTAGGTAACTTTATGAAAGAATAAAGAGGCTAATGTGCTCAATAATCCTATAGTCTGCCCGAAATATATGTGATAGTTAATATCCATTTATGATTATTATGCTAAACTCATATTACGTTACCTTGTGTAATTTGTAATATAATCCACATGCATTGCAAACCGATTCGCCATTTCCATTTCTTCTCCAAAGTGTTGTTGTCGATGTATTACAGTTTGAACAATGTACACCACTCTTTTTCACTGTAGACTACAGAAAAAAGAAAAAACATTCAGATATAATATACATATAGATAGTGATATTCGTATCCATAATCAATTGTCTTACACTCACAGAAAATCCTACTCATTCAGTACTCAATATCTATTTCACATTTTATCAATGAAAACGATTGTTTAATGTGTTATTATTAATTAATTCTACTTACTAGTCTTCGTTTTGGTTTGATAAGTGGTCGATTGTGTCCATTCATTTTATGATAGAGACCACAAGCATTGCACAAATAATTTCCATTACCATCACGTCGCCAGAGTGGGGTTGATTTTGCACCACAATTTACACACTCTCGACCTTCTAAAGATCAAACATTTTAAATAATATCATAATCAACAACGATATAATAACAATATGAAATCTGTTAAATATAGTTGTTCTAACCTTGACTAGGTTTTTTCTTTAATAATTTATTACTATTAGGTGATTTTAATGGCCATAAGGAATTGAGTGGATCTTTAAATAATGCCCAATTATTTGAAATATCATGTTGTTGTGTCTGCGATGAATAGGGTGAAGAAGGATTTGAGGATGTTGTTGAAAGATTTATTGATGAATTATTTGTTGTATTAAATAATTCTGATGAATGTTTACTCGAATCAGTGTTAGTAATCGAATTTAATTTTCCACTATCTAAATCTTGATCTTTTGGTGGTGTAGGTGGAAAATAAGAATTTTGAAAATTAGAAAAATGATGTGAATGTGGATATGTACTAGAAAATGGTGCTGGTTGCCCATGAGCATTTGAATGATGCCAATTGTTATATTGAGAAACAGCTTTAGACGATTCAGGTGTCATCCAATTGGGTAATGGAAATGTACTCATAGCTAAAATAGAATGAAAAATATAAACATTTCTATTTTATTTATGATACAATAATACATACATCCGGGATATCTGTAATAGGATTCAGATCCTGTACCATAATAATTATCAGCATAATTCCAACGATTAGCATAGTTTCCAACTTGTTCAAGTGTTAAAGGATCCATACTGTATCAAAAAAAAAAAAATGACAAAAATAATATAGTTAATAGCTATTCTCAAATTTCTAAATATGACTGAACTATTTTTTAACAGACTTAAGCTCGTTTATGCTATATTGTATCATGTATTTAATATTCTACGAGATATGAATAAGTGAATTTCTTTTACTTTAATCTCAAGCTAACATTTTCTATGATCAAAAACTATCTGAAGATCGGATAGATGAAAGAATTTTGTCAAAAAGTTTTTTTAGGGAATAATTAATCGTTATTCTTTAGCATAGACATCTTTATTTATCTTAAATTTTTTCTATAAATTTTCTCTCTCTACATACGTTTCATAAATAATTTTAAAACGTATAAATACCAGCTTTATGTTTTGGTTGTTACCTTTTGTAGATAGATGTATAAATCTTTTTAAGCACACAGATGTCTAATGTATCGATATAATCAATATTTGTCAATAATTAGTTACACGAACACACAGCGATCGATAATATATAAAAACATATTTCTTAGCCACTCTCTGTATCAAGATTAAAAATTATCTGAAATTGGACAATGTGCAGTCTCTGTATCATTTATAAGATATTTGCTAATACACAGTCTTGTAAAAAAAAAATAGTCATATTTCTTAAAACTATTTTATACGTACTCGTCTATATTATGTAAACTGAATGAGATAACATTCTTTTTAATTAAAACAATTTGGTTAAAAACGAGATAGAGTATTTTAACAATAAAAATGATAATATGGTGTAATAAATAATTCGTGACTATATCTTGATATATCTCACATGATTCACCAAATATTTTCCTCCTTTATCTAATTAATTTAAACTGCTTCTCTTTTTCCGATATCAAGAACAATACGATGATTATCTTTGTTCCTAGTTCTTTTCTTTGCCTTGCTTTTTATGTCAGGCGATATTAAACAAGTCAGAAGATAACTTAGAAGATTGTATGGAGATAACTGTTTTTAGATGGTGGTGAACAAAGGTAGAGAAAGAAAACGTCTTCATCTTTTCTTATTGGAACATACACATAACTAATCAGATAAATGGACGATGTTTTATTTTTCTTCTTTTAGTTTCTGCTCCAGCGAACATAGAGAATACAAAGATGCAGTTTAGATTTAGATATAAGAGATGTATACATGTAGAGATAGCAGAATATTTTTCTTTTTCTTTCTATTTTCTTTCTCTATCCTAAGTAAAGATAATACAATGTGTACGATATTTTTCTCGTTTTCTTTCGGTAATACGATCGATTGGATAAGAAAAATGAAAAAAAATTTGTTGTAACCAGTCTTTTGAAGATAAAGAAAATGTTGTCTTACCTCATTGGAGGAACAACAAAATGATGAAGGTTGAACAAACCGTACGGGAAAGAAAGGGAAACGTACACAATTCGTGCTCAGCTTTTTAGCATGTTAAACAAGGCAAAAATATTAGTGTATCATACAGTGGAGCATGTTTTAACTATAGCTTCAAATCGAGATTGTTGTCGTCTATTCCAGTTTCAATTTCAAATTAAAAGTCTCAATATTCAACTCAATTTGTTAATTAAAATATTGATTTTTGTTAATACACATTATAAAATTATCACTTTTCAAAGAGTACCTAGTGTAGTGGTCAAGTTTCATTCTATACTTTTATGATTGTTAGTGTGTTTGCTATTTGCTCTATTTTAGCTTTATTCTTCCATATCGTGTAAACTAATGCAAAACTACATATTTATTGTTCATCATAGAATAGTTTCCCCAGATTTTTGTGACCCAAACTTAATTTTATAGGATAAACTTCATATCGTTTGGCAAATTAATAATCAGTTTTCAGCCCTATGCAAATATGAAGTAGAAATATTCATCGAAATATAGCACTAATATAAATCCTCTGATTGACATATCGATAAAAAACGAATATCGTATTTGTAAAGAAGAAAACTACTATAAGTAGCCTTGCTTGTCTTTGACAAGCGAAAAAGCCTTTGTCGTTCAAGTTCTATATTGACACGCGTGCGCATTATTGATAGTGATCACAAAAACAATTTTCTGTTAATCAGTCATTTGTTGGGTGTTGTATATGTATGACATGTGGTTGTTTTTTCTGAGAATATTGCGTAACGGTTCGATTAACCGTTGTCATATACATAGATTGTAAAGTGCTCCTAAAAGAACGCATGCTGTGTTTAATAAATGATCGAACAATATTTGGAAATCGCCATCAATAGAAATTGAAACGGTGTAATGAATGAATAGAGTTCTATAAACAGCACGTCAACATTTTATCATAAAGGTAGTTAATATTCTGTATGTATTATGAAGGCATGACACGAGATCCTTTAACATTAAATCAGTTCTTTTCTCCTTTCAATAAGTTGAACGAGCGAAAGTCAGTGTCTGGACTAGTAATAATTAAGGAAATCTTTCTACTTTTCAACACTTTTTTTCCTCGAATTAGCCATTCATTTTACGTCACGTTAAATTATAATAGTTTCAATGTGTAATTGCCTTAAAGCTAATTTCAAATCTGAAAAGTCGAACTTTCTACAACCTTTTTTTCCTCTTACATCTCTATCTATGGATTATTATTCATCTCTGACATCTACACAAACATCATCACCAAAAAGTTTCATTTCACCCCTGCTTAACCGCATACTATTAGTGCCCTGCTGTTCTTCTTAACCGATACATTATGCGATGCAGCCAGATAACTCAGTGCTCTAGCAGCTCGACCTGGCTGAATAACTCAACAACAATCCACTTATCTAGAAACACTTTGCACTGTTAAAAGTCTTATTACAAAATTCGGCAGCGAAGATGGTTCAAGTGTGCCACGGCCGTTCGTTACTCGAACGATCTGATGTTCGTTACTCAAATACCCGCTTTCATCACTGAGTGATTAGTTTTCACTAATTTCAAAGACTATCTTCTCAGCTCAGTCATGTGATTTCTTCTGCATTGTACGCGTTCAAATCAAATCCAAATCATTCATCGTCGAAAAGATGTTCAACGGTCGCTATGTACAAACATCCAAAAAATAAAAAATATTTCGCGTGCGCTGACGAATAGTCGGAAGACTTTGAGTTAGTTTATTAAACATAAATCATCATTAACGTCATCTATCTCTTTCTCATCGTTTGTTACATGATTATATTAGGATTACCTTTACACAAAATCGATATCGTCACATTTTTCCGATATCACTATGATTAATCACTGAATTAATATACCTCTCTGCGTATAGTAGTATTCGCACGGAGAAAGAAGAAGTAGAAGAAAGAGAGAGAGAACGTCCATGTAATGCTTTACGCACAGGTATAACCAAATCACTTTTCTCTCCTCTCCCTCATAGATACATTCATTCAAATCAATAACATACTCTATAGTCCATTAGATGACAGTTAATAGTTTCGAATGAAAGGCGTACAAACTGTCATTATCATCATCATCCTATATGTAAAGGAAAAAAATAGAAAGAGTAAGAGTATATTTCAAATATGTGTTTATTATAAATCAATATGTATAAAATATCAAAAAACTTATGACGAGATTATTATAGACATTCACATCGTGAATAGTGTAAAACAAACAAACAAATAGGTTTCTTTATTTCGGGAGAATAACGGAGAGACAGATCTGGACATAACGCTAGAGTTCTTCTCTTCGTTGATCTTAAACATGGGTGTTCATGATTTTATTCGATTATCGAAAGTTATTCTTCGACGAAGCGAAAGCAGTGTCTTAAATGCTGTTTGCTGCTCTCTGGTATTCTCTCGAATTAGTAAGTGCGCAACTGTTCTGTTCTATGTAACAAGACCAAAATATACACACCATCTCTTAATTATACCACAAAAGCAGCTTGGCTCAACAGTTATGTTGCTTGTCATATGCTTCAATAGTCCTTTGCTGCGAGATTGCTATCGACATGTCAGTTACTAACCTTATTCAACTTCATCTAACTCGGATACTCAACACTTTGTGACATAGAACATGGGATCTCTGGCTTCGAGTGATATCGAGCTATACAGAACTGACAAGTTTGTCTTACCACTACTCCATACCAGCGATGATCGCCTCAAATGAAATGCTCTTCTTCTTGCAACAGCTTGCTCTGATATACAACTAGTACAACTTTCTTCGAGGTGTCTAGATTCCGGCACACATTTAACGCAATCAAATATATTGTCATGTTTAGAATTACTAAATAAAATATGTGTTATTCTTAGATACATTTCAATATTTGTTTATAAATCTAGCCACGTTTGTCTATATTTAGACTCTCGTATCTCGCACATGTTATTGTCATGCCGAAAGAACATTCTCATGCTATAGGCGGAGTTAAGGCAACACTTTGTCTTCTGTGGAGTCGGTAACAGATATAGACGCAGATCTCAACTGGACATCGATTGTAATAGGAAAGAAAAGAGAGTCGTACACTTCCTTTAATTCAATTTATAACGTTGCAAGCGTTTTAATATCTGTTCATCTAATTACCGTCACACGTACAATATGAATGTGTGTACCGAAGAAAATGACATTTCATTATTAGAAGTTTGAATTTAGTTTGAAAAGGGAGGTGATAATTGCACATACAGATATGTACGGAAAATACGATGATTTCTATCAAAAACCATCTATAGCAACTCACACACTTTTGGTGGCCTTGAAAATATCTACGTATTCTAAGCAGAGTCGGTTTTCGCTGAAATATGAACGAGCAACGGTATAGTTGCGAGATATTTTGACGGCAGAACTCCATCAGACACATTGGTGCAATAAACTAATAGTTCAAACACATTTGTAGATGAAGTTCTTGAATCGCGTATTGGGATCATGTTTTTCTCACAAAAAGACGTCATCATCTCAATACTAATACGATCGAGTACAACCCCCTTTTACTTGTCAAATAAAAATGATATTATGAGGTTAGCCTTTGTTGAAAGGTAGGCGGAGTATACAACAATTGATGATACTGTCAATTACAGTGATGTGATGAAAAACGAGTTTTCAAAGACATTTTCTTCATCGTCCGTGGTTGCCGAGGGATCAATGCATCTTCAAAAGTTTATCCTAATGTGTAAATGGGATGAGAACTTTACAACTTCTACAAGGCCTTCGCTATTTTGTTGTATTCGATCGAAGCAATAGCTATTAGTTTTCATCTGTTCCTATCAATATCATGCTGATAGTCTGATAGATAGAGACAAGCCTTCTGTGATATTCTAAAATATCTCGTGTTTCGTTCAACTCAAGCGAGTTTGAGTATCTGCATAGAAGAAGACTGGTGTTACAATCGAATCGAGTATCATCAGATATTTAACTGTCTTCACATTTGCAATGTTTCTTTAGCTGCCGACATATGAAAAATAAAAAGAGTCAGGTCTCTCTTAAACGTGTATCGTTGATGATATAGTCTATAATATTTATCGAATAAATTGATCTCATTTTCTCTTTCCTTCTCGCTCTGTCTGTTCATCTTCATAATACAACGCAACATACATGATCTCCACCTACCACTTAAGACTCAAAATAGACAAAGACGTCGAAGAGGGAGAGAGAGAGAGAGTATTTTTGTTCACTGTATCATCACTTAGCATAGAGGCTACCAACAACCATCGACACTTTGGAGTGGTTGAGACGATTAATTATGAGATTATAAAAAGATCATTATCACACATTATGTAAACGGATTTGTTCTTCTTCACCGCACCATCATCATCATGATGATGATGATTTAAGAAATATATAGCAGAAAATAAAACGAACTAACACTAAAATGGCGAATAGTTTCGACCACATGCTGATTATCAACTCAAATAAGATAACTGTAGGTAGTATACTAAGATTCTCGTTACCTGCTCTTCTTTATTGATACGTTCGAAATTGAAATTTATAAATTATGAGAATAGATATTATGTGTAAAGAAAGAAAGAGAGAAGAAAAACACACGTTTCACCGGAAGCTATGAAAGCCCGCATGCACACAGATATACCTGCGCTGTAGTATTCTAAGCACATATTAATGTACATACTACCTTCATCAAAAGGTAAAATAATGGAAGAAAAGTCAATGTGGAAAGCAAATCAGTTGTACAAAGTGGTCTCTGACTAACGAATGAATCAATAACAGGTTAGCATACAAATTTGCTGTTTTTTAACGTATAAAATACATTGCTATTATTTAATAATATTTATTACCGTGTCTGATTATAGTTAATTGCTTATACGTTCGAACTAGTGGTGCTGATCATATGTTCTGCCTCAAAATACCAAGTATCGTGTTTTTTATCTTATTCTATGAAACTGGCTGGTATGCTGATCTTGTGGGATGTCGTTGACAG